GCTCCAGTGAGAGCTGCAGATCTCGTTCCGATGAAGCCAACAGGACCACATCATCCGCAAAAAGCAGAGATGCGACCCTAAGGCCACCAGAACGGATCCCCTCAACACCTCGGCTGCGCCAAGAAATTCTGTCCATGAAAGTAAYGAACAGAATCGGTGACAAAGGGCAGCCTTGGCGGAGTCCAACTCTCCCGGAAACGAGCCCGACTTACTGACATGGCCCTCCAAACAGCATTAGCTGCAAACTCACAAGCAATGCTACAAAATATGCAAAAAACAAAATTATTGTATTCACTATTTAATAATTATTAAATTTGTTTAACATAAGAATTTTATTGACCGACACGCTTTGAACACTTAAAAAACAACAACTTTTCAACAAATTTTTAACAATAAAAAAAGAACAAAAGAAATCAAAGCTCTCCTAAACATTTCAGTATATTAATATAAATTACATTTTTACATTATGATTGAAAAACTGATAAAATTTTATGATAATGATTTAAAACATTTATTAGATTAACATTTTAATTGTTGGCTTTTTTTTCTTATCTTCCCTTCAGCTTTCTGGCTTTCAGCTTTCAGCGAAAAACACTGTTTTAGGAGATTGAAATAAACAACAAAAGCAACAATTGTTAATCTTGCTGAGCTATAACTGTTGGGGACTTGTTGAGCAATGGTGTTTGTCTATAAAATACCTCAAAATGTTTCCCGGTTTTCCCAAATTTTTTTCTTTTTGAATTTGTACATGCTTCAAAAACGTGTGCAATACTTTTTCTCCATCAAAACAGTCAGGGTTGACCAAAATGTCATCTTTTTAGGAGATAACTCAATTACTTTGTCAGAACAGCGTAATAGTTACAGTAGTAGAAGTCAGATTAATTTAAAGTGAACTTTTTGTGGGAATATCYGAATAAAGATGTTGATTCAGGTTAAATCTCTCTGGGCTGCAACTGTTGGAGGCGGGTGAACAAGGCAAAATTGGCGGGAAAAAATTCACTTGCAGTCTTACTGAATTTGAAATATTTTCATCCAGCGATGCTTACAGCTTATTGGCAGCCATAAAAAAAAATCATAATCTTTTTATGTTTACAGCTTGCAAATCTGTATTCTGAGTCACGTGTTATTTTGTTGCTCACCTCCAACATGCCTCAGTTAAAAGTAGCATATTTACACATCCCCCCCCCCCAACTTGAATAAAGCATTCCAAACTAAACTCACCTTAAGCTTTAGGTGCTGCCATTTTGTATAAAAAATATTAATTATGGTATATAATCCATAAACATTTTAATTACGTTTGGTTTAAACAGCACAGACTGATAACTTCTTGTAAAATGTGATTACAAGGTCAAACAGTTCTGACGTACAGTAAAATAGTCGTTTTAAATACTTGATGACCACAAGCTGCCTGTAAATACAACTGGGTTGGGGTGGGGGTGGGGGGATCAGTCACCACTGACGATAAGGCATGTGCTACATAAATATCAGCATGACGTGTGGTTGTGCATATGAATTATATGTGTGGTGCAACCAAGCTCAGCCCTGCTTTGACTCAGGTTTCACATGCCCGCTTCCTCCTAAACATCTCCAACCACCTCTCCCCTGTCAGAACGAGGCCATGTCCTACGAGAAGACAGCCGGGGGCGGCATGTCAGCGGGGGAACCTTTCAAAGCAGAGATGGTCTTTATCAGGGACTTTGTGGAAACAGAAAAAGCAAATATAACCCGACTGGGAGCAGAACCTCAAGTAAGTACAAAACACCTTACAGGATTTTGTGAGGACAGCAGAAGACTTTAATTGACATGATGGAGTGGGTTTGCGGAATACTAACTTGAAGAAATTAACAGTCTTGGTCCTGGGATTAAAAGATAAACAGATTGGGGTTTTCATGTCTGTTTACTTGGAATCTGAGGGATTGAAATGCATGTCGTTTTAATGTTTCACAGAGTTTTTATTAAGAAGAGATTAAGTTCTTGTCATTGTGCCAAACGGTGTATTTGTTGTATTTTAACAAATCTGCCACAAGTGACAAACCAACTAACAAAGGGTTTGAACAGAAAAGTCACTGAAGTTTGAGAATTAGGTAAAACCTTTATGAAAAAGACACGAAATAATAAACTTTATTATGTCCATCCACAGTTGCGGTCTCTACCAGATCACAGGAACTCYTCTCAAACCAGAGCTCCTCCTTCAGTCGACGCTCAGTCTGAAAATACCCCTGACCATGCAGCCGTGGGGACGGTCTCCATGGGATCAGCTGTTGATAAACACAGGGGCAGTTCCCGGCAGCAGTGTCACAATATCTCTGGACATTCTGAAGACACACTGGCTTGCTTTACGCACGAGAGGCCTGTTCCAGAAGACAGAACGAGCCCCACCAGCTCCCCAGACCTGTTCCCCACCCCGGCCTCGTCCCGCGAGTCTATCCTAATGTCCCCGACCTCTTTCAGCCGAACGGTTTCTCCGTGCTCGTCCGTTCGCTCGGGTGTCTTCTCTCCTTCAATCATCCGGATCAAGAGGCACACTCTGGCTTCTGGATCTAGCCTGATTAGCACCCCCCAGACCTGTTTCTCATCTTGCGACAGTTTGTCGTCTTCCTGTACGCAGACCCCCACCCCCCGGCACCGACCTCCCGTCACCCGCCTCTCCCTCCTGACTGCCATCCTCAGGAAAGGTCGTCTCCCTGTCCTGTCTTCCCCGCTGCAGAGACCCTACACCCCCTGCTGGCCTGTCAATCCCGTGACCCTGTCCTTCTGTAAGGCATGCTCTGCTGCCTCCAGCGTGGCGTCCATTCCCTTTGAGTTTTCCTCCCGGTTCTCCTCGTCCGCCTCCATAGACGGTCAGAGCCACGTTTGCAGGGAGGCCGCTGTTTCCCCGACCGTGGAGTTGAGCGCTCACGACAGAAAATGCCCTCAAGCTCAGGTGAACCTTAGACAGACGCAGGTGATTTCTCCTCCGCCGACAAAGAGCAAACGCCCTCAAGCGCCTTTGTTTTCAAGTGTCACCGCCGTTTCTCCACCGAGGCGTGATAACTCTGAAAGAACACCACACAGATCCGTCTTGCATGAGCCGAGGCCCGGCAACACGTTCCTCAAGGACTACGCCGATAATGGCATCAGAAATCTCACCTCCTCACCCTCTGAACATAAAAGTGAGCCTCCCGTCCCCCAGAGCTGGACTCGTCAACCGGCTTCATCTCTCTCACGGCTCCAGATGCTCTCTCAGCAGCTGAGATCTCCGCCCGTCTCCCCATCTTCCCATTCACACAGCTCACCTCACCCTGTTTGCGCAGACGCCGCACCCCCCCGCCCTCATTCAACTCCAGCCACCAAGGCTGGAGGGTTCGAGTCGGTGGGGGGCTGGCCCGGAACCAGGAGTACCACTCCCTCCAAAGCTGTCCACAAAACCCACTGCCTGTCTCCTTCTCGATACAAACCCATTGTCCTCTCTGGGTGGGTGACCCCCGCAGACTCCCCCACACCCACACCCTCCCCTGCTCCGCAAGTCAGAGACTTCACCCCGTCTCCGTCCTTGTCCCTGCGCTCCACTCCCTCGCCAAGGCCGGGGAGTGGGATTTCAGACTGCAGCGACAGGGATGGTAAAAAAAGAAAGGTACGGCGTCTCAAACTGCCCGATGAACTTTATAATATTTGCCTTTCATAAACTGCAGACGACTCATTTGTCCTCCTTTGCCCCCCATTTTTCCCTTTGAATACTAGACACACAAGATTAAGCTGAGCTACAAGTCGCTCGCTGCGATTCCCACAAACACCATCCTGTTGGATCAACAAGTGAGTCTGCACACTTACCTCTAATCCCAGGCGTCCATCTTGTTATCCTGTTAAAACTCCTTAAAAATTGGTTTGAAGTCCAAAAAAAAGTTGCAACAGGTAAAATATCTCTTGAGCAAATTGGTAGCATTTAATGACATTCTCTGAAAGTAATAACTGCATTTACAACTGATCAGCTTTTGGAGTCAGTTCAAATTAACCACAACCAATCAAAGAGTTAGATTATTTGATTCAGAAAATATAAATCAAATGTGTCAGAAAAACGTAATTATTAACTTTTGTGTTGAGTTTTGGACCTTTTCCCCAATAATTCGGAGTCCCTCCTGGTCTAAACGTTTTGAACTTTACTTGGCTCAGACTTCTGTCTGTGGTTCGGGTGGAAAACTGATATTTAAAGTTGGTCTAAACCAGCCTGAAGCTCTTTTTGATGTCCCTCGTCATGTTTTCTCCCTCATCAATCTGCACCGCCCTTCGCAGACTTTTCTCATCAAGTCGTCTTTCAGCTCCACGTCCTTGAAGCTTCTTCAGAGTTTTTACAAGTTTCTGATTAACTTTTTTCCCCCAAACATGATCTCTGCTGCTCCTAGACAGCTCTCTTGTTTTCAGCATTTAATGAGGACTAAATCTAAGAATTGGTGATGTCATGACCTCACAACTGAATATTTTAAGTTACTGAACGAAAAACTAATGTTTTATTTTATAATAACAATAACAACAATGATTAAAGCTACAAACAGAATTTCATGCAGCAATATTAAACACTAATGTGCAATAAAATCACTGTTCTTTTTTAAAAAAAAACATCAAATAATAAATCAGAATTCTTATTAGTCTGAAGCCTTTAAAAGAAAATGAAGCCAAACCAGGCTTGGAAAGAATTGAAAATCAGCGCATTATTCTCAGCATTGATGAATCGGGCATGCAGAACACAGAAGAGATGATAGGAAAAGGAAATTGAAAATTTTGGAATTTATGGCTGCCACTTGCAGAGAATAATCCCTGTGGTGAGCTCGCTCTCTTCTGTTTGCATTTGCAGGTGATTGATGAGCAGGTAGAGCAGAATCCCAGTGACTCACAGGACAAACTTGTTACAGACACCCACTCAGAGGTACAGCTGCACGCGTGGCTGCTGGTTCTTATGTGAAAACGTTGCATAAAACCTGGAATAAATCAGTTATTTCCACAGATGTGCTCTCCGGCTGAGCTCCGGCAAAAGTCAGATCAGCTGTACGCGGTTATTGATGAAATACTGGCAAACGCCATTCCTGAAGTGAGTTGAATCATATTTGACTGATTGAAAATAATCAATATAAAAATGTTGATGTGTAATATTAAAAAGTAATATAACGGACTCATTTTTTCAACTTTCTGTGCAAACTATCCTGTGGACAGAAGACCTCAAGGTCACCGATCACCGTTGGTTCCCAGGTAAAATACGTATAACCACGTTTTATTTTTATTTTATTTTATTTTTGAGCTCTTAATACTGCTATAAAAACTAACAACACTTAAACTGCATCTAAAATATTAAAGTAAGGATGTTGGATATGACATCGTTTTTGTTTTGCAGACAGAACATTCTCAGTTTCCTGCACCCAAAGAATAAAAATCGTTCTTTATTATTTTTCAAAGGAAATGACCCCTTACAGTTTACAGAGAAAACAGGAGTAATTTAAAGCATTTTCCAAGAAATGCTGCATGCTGTGAGTCATGTCCAGGTCCAAGAGCTGAATGTAGGCATTTTAGTCATTAATGAAATATTAAAAACATTTAAAAAACATCAAGAGTAAAAACAAAAGCAACTTTATTCTGCTTAAATAATCCATGTGGCATTTGCCCCAAGAACTTGTTTTCAGCCTTTTTACATTGAACATATTTGAAATATTAAATCAGTTTGAAGATATAGAATTTCTACTTCCCTTTAGGATTTTGTGTTTTTTTTTATCATCCTTTGCTTTCTTACCTTCAGCAGAACTCTTCATTGTCGAAATCCTTGGGGCGTGAAACCAAATATGTAAGTAGAAGTCACGCAGTTTGTCAGATGAATTTAAAGCGTTTGCCTTTTTTATCTTCTTCTTTTTTTTCCTCAAGGTTTTACATCCAAAACAATCATTACAACAAATTGCTGCTCAAACAACACATTCACACAAATGTAGACACTGACTTTGGATTTTTGCTGTAAAAAACAAAACAAACAAAAAAAAAAATACAGATTGATGAAAAATGATTAATGTTGCTCACATGTTTAAAGGTTTCTCTTTTAGAAGTAAAAACAACAAGAACTTCAATTTTCAGCATCAATTAAAAATGCCATTAATACAGGTATTTAAAATGATTATGCCTGGTTTATGGATGCTAAAATCTATGGAGCACCAGAAGGGATATGGGGAAATTTTTTTTCTTACTCACTTACTTTTTGCGTTACCTCTCAAAAAATATTTAAAAAAAAATCACATGTGCACCACTATATGTTATGTTTCGTCTGGTTTCATGTTTTTATTTTGACTTTATTCTGATTTTTCTGTTATGTTCCTCTGTTTTGTTCCTCCTGTTTGCCTTTGCTCCAGCCCCGCCAGGTGTTTCCTGTTTGTGCTCATTAGTCTCACCTTTATATTCTGTGTCTTGTCTTCACTTCCCTGTCAGGTCATTGTTCTGTTCTGTTCTGTTCTGTTCTGTTCTGTTCTGTTCTGTTCTGTTCTGTTCTGTTCTGTTCTGTTCTGTTCTGTTCTGTGCCTTGTCTTGCCTTGCCAGCCACTCAGAGTTTTTGAGCTGCCCAGTCRGCACCTTTTTTGTTAAATAAATACTTTGTTTTTTTGGAACCTTGAAACTGCCTGCATCGTGGGTTCATTCCTGCCTGAGATTTGTAACACTATATGGGAGGTACTACTTTAATTCAGCTTTGAAATCAACAGTCACAGCCAAGCATGGAGTTATATAGACAGTTTAACTTGATGTAGCCACGCAATCACCGTGAATTTCCTTAACTAGTGGTGACACATCCTTGTCAGTAATTGGCGATTTCAAAATAAAAGACTCATTTGCAGCTAGTAACATTAATATCAAGCATTTAAAAACATTAAACTCAACATAAAAATATTACTAAGGAAAGCTAAAGTATTGAAAGTGAAAGCAAAATCTTTTGCCTGGAAATGCAAAATACTACCCTCCCAAAATAAATAAATAAAAAACCTCCCACCCCATATCAACCTCCAGGGCTCTGGAAAATACGATATTAAAGATGGCCAATTTTATGTGACAAGAGCTTCATTCATTCATTCATTTTAAAGAACGAGACAAAAACATTTGCAAGTCTTCTTTTGCAGTTGTGGTACATTTCCTTTCCTTTATAAATGAAAGTCTCTCATGTCTGATGCAGAAGTGATGGTGTGAAGTAAAGAAGTTTAAATTATTTTCATCCATCTGTAGATCTTGATTAAACAATCACATTTAAATCACAGTTGATCACATTCTAGTAGGGATCTGTTTATCAGGATGTAGAGAGGTTAAAGACAAGAAATGTATGTTTAATGTTCAGCTAAGAAGAAATAATTATACTCTGAAAAATTGTTGTTGCAAGAAAACGAGACAAAGATGTGACCTTGGGGAAGCTAAGTGGATTTAATGGTAAAACTCAGAAATAAAAAAAAATGTAAATAGTTACTGAATGTTGATTACTCATATGTGTGATGTTAGTTTTTAGAAGCAATCTGAGAATGACAGAAAAAAGTCTCTGGTAATAATCTGCAAACTTGGATTTCTTTTCTTTTCTTTCTAAAAAATAAGTGTGAGATTTATGTTGCTTTATTAATAAACTCCATATCACTTCAGTTGAATTCAATATTTAACCGTATAAATGTTACCAAATGTTTCGTAGAYGGGGCAGCTATGTTGCACGTATTAGATTTTATTGGCATTTCGGTCCCCTTTGCAGACTGATTCGTTGAAATGCCCCATGGTGGACATGCTGCAGAGCCATCACAGCAGCTGTCATTTGGACAGTTTGTGTCACAATCTTGTGGCGCCTCGTGATCGCCTAAAGTTTGAGGTTAAGTTTTTCCACCAAACCTTCTGTCACATAGACAGCATTTGTTTCTTTGCTATATTCTCTCCCACATGCATCATGGAGGTTCTTACAAAAAAATCTGATAGTTCAAAAGGCCCAGAAAGCAAAAAGGAAGAAAAAGCAGCAATAAGCTGTTTACTGAGCATGCACCAGCTGACATCCTGCCTGACATTGTTAGGAAAAAGTGCCTCATTAACACATTACCTCGGTCCCAGTGTTTCCTAATTTACACAATGTTGGTACAAATGTTGGTTTAAAAAATAAATCTTAGGGTATGTTTCAAAGTTGTACCACTGAGTCTATTTGTAAAATTTTATCATGAAAAATGGATGTGTATTAATACTGAACATTTGAAGTCTGGAATTTTTCAAAACCTTGAACAGTTGAAGCTAAATAAGTTGCTACCTACCTACCAGGTACCTTCCCGGTAATACGTTGGTGTAGATTAACCACCCAGGACAATCCTGAGTAGTTGTCTACCTGATCAATATTGCAGCCTGTCTACCTGTTACTATTTCAGCTTTTTCATGGTACAATATTGTATCAACTTGTTTGGATGACGACAGGATGTTTCTCAGTATCATAAAGTGTGACATGATATGATTTCAATTCAGTTCACAAGTCTGCGATCAAAATGATGATGTCATGTGCCCACCTAACACTCATTAACACTCATTAATCGTTTTAATCAATATATGATATTTTTACATCACTGGTAACCATTCTTTCAAGGACTGCTTATCACACTGAGTTGTAAACCCTTAAAGAGGACACATTCAAAATTATCTTTTTTAGCCCTTAAATACATTTTGTTGTGTGCTTGTGATGTGCTCTAGGCAGGGCCGGCCTGTGACATGGGCAGTATAGGCAAATGCTAAGGGTGCTGTCTATCCAGGGAGCGCCACATAAGGGGGACAAATAACAAAATTAAACTTGGTTTTATCTGAGTATAGCTGATTTAGTCTAATCGATTACTCAAGCTAATAAAGGTGTCTGTAGCGCTCTCAGTCTGCTTTGGTACTATTTTAATCTGTTTTCAAAAACAAAATTGCTTAATTTGTTACGTGAATGCTTGTAAATTGGCAGTGAGATTTATAAAAACTGCACAAGGGGCACCACCTGAAATCTTGCCTGTTTGCTCTGTCTCCAGAAGCATTGACAATTTAAAGTAGGTCTTTGTCGATCTTGCGATTATATGCTCTTTGTTTGGGTCATATTTTTCAGTCCGTTCACTTTTCTCTATTCCTTATTTTGCTTTTTGAATTGCATTTCCACTTTATACACACACCAAGTGAATGATTCAAATGTTAAGGAAGGATTTAAAATCATGATATGTCCTCGTTAAAACCTGCAAGATGACACACTAATTGATTTTATTTTTAGCTCTCATGTACAAAAGACAAAAATAAATAATTTACTGAGAAAATGGTTCTTTTATTTCAAGTCTTGTTTTTGTTGCCTGTTTTTGGACTCTAATGCGTTTTCTTTGTTTAGGCATCTTTGTGCAGCTTGCACCCATCTGCCTGTAAAGAAAGAAACATGATGTTTCCTAAAAAGGTACATCTTCATTAATGGAGAGCTGCTGATGCTGTTTGTTTTTCTCCAGTGCAGTGATGTTGTTAAGTGTTGCAGAAATTTACTTGCTTCACGACTTCATTGTTGCTGATAAATTTACAATCTTGTTATTTAGACAAAACTTGGAGTGGTTCGCCCAATGACAGCCATTCCAAGACTGACAGTGAAGGATGAGGATGAATTTCAGTCCAGTCCTTACGGGCAGCTTTTCAAGCAAACTTCAGCTGACAAGAAAAAGGTGAGTGAGATGAGTATAGTCAGTTTTAGCTTTATTTAAAAAATAGCTGTTTTAATGAAAAAATTTGTTTAGTAAAACAAAATATTTATATTTTAACAAGCAGACAGGTTAATTATTACATATACAATATGAAAAGTAAATCTAAAATAAAATACTTTTTATTAGGCTAAACGATCAGTTAAATTAAATTAAAAACTAACTTGTAATAACCTAAAATTTATAGATTGATGTTTTTTATTAAAATTTTTTTAGCTGATGCCAAAGTTTAGAAATCAGGGCAGCCATGGCCTACATACAACACCATTAAAAATCTGTCCAAAAAGTGTCGTTCGTTTTACAAAAATATAACCAAATTGTGAACAAACAGGTAGACATTGAACATGATCATCATCAATGCATGATGTAAACAGATTTGACATTGGATGCTAAAGGCAGGTGGATTTATTTATTGATTGATTTCATTAAAATRAATAGAAATTAACCTGATGGACAGTTCATAACAACCTAGCACTACATCTGTCATACTTTTAGCAAAAACAAAGATTTAGGGAACTTCTGGTGTCTGCTTTTTTCTTTTTACATTGAAATCATGAAAGTCTGATGTATTAAAAGGGCGATATTATGTGATTTCCAAGCCTATATTTCAGTTTTATACTAAAATAAAGTAACTATGTCCCATTTTTAGCTTATGAAAGAGCTATATATTTGTAAAAATCCCCAAAACGATTTACTTCTCATCTTGACAGTTTCTAAATGCCTTGAAATAGGTCTCTGTCTCTTTAAGAAAATCCAACCACTTTGGTCACGCCCATTTCAACATGTAACTGCGGAGTCGCAGAGCGGGCGGGGGGTGGGGGGGGTGGTGCTCTGCCATGAGGAAGTTCGGCTTAAAGACACATCCCAGAGGAGGAGCTTGTCCCAAAAGGTGTTTCTGGTCCCCACCTGTCGTTTTGCTCCTCAGCATGGCTKCCTAAAAACRCTGCAGGATTTCTCAAAYATGCATRAATGAGTCAAAKCAAGGCTTTGGGCATGTTTTTTTTATGAGAGTATAACAAGATATAAAACTCAAAAAAGTTGATTTTACATGATATTGCCSCTTTAATGTTTTGTCAGAATGAATAGGACTGAGTATTAAGGGACAAAAGAGAAGAATGTGAGACACATGCAGGTTGAAGMACAGTTCTGATCTTTACCTTTCTGCACAGAAAGTGATTTAAAGTCTATAGAAAGTTTCAAAGCAATTGCTGGGTTGCCTCAGATTGGAAAAGAATCACACAGAGACACGCCACATAAGTTATTTCACGTATTGTTCAGCTCGTTCTTACATCACTTCTGTTACACAATACAGCGGATGGAATGTCAGCATGCATTTGTTTCCCTCGGGCTGATCTGGAACACTTATGTCCAATTTGAGCGTCACATTTTAGAGCTGCTGACTTATTATTTAGAATTTCTTGTTTGTTGCTCACAGTGAGTTGTGGCTGATGTAACCTGTTTTTTTGGCACATAAAGTGGGGAAAGAGATGTTTAATTACAGGCTGTCAGCGACACACAGAGATGCATTTCAGTTCCGGGTTTTGACCTTTTGTTGTAAAGTAGCTGTCGACATCACATTTCTCAGACGTTACTGTGTTGTTAATTACACTAAAGGTATGTGAGAAAAAAAGGTACAGAAGTTCACCTTCAGAGAGTTTTATCAAAGAAAAACATGAAAAAATAATAAGATACTTCATGTGTCAGAGCTTTTATCTTTTTCCACCTGCATCACTAATAATTTCTCATGTTATACTGGAACTGAACCACCGAAAGGGGAGATTTTAATACTTTTATTAAACTCTAATGCATGTAAGAGTTCAGAAAAGCATAGTTTCAGTTTTAAGGTTTTAATAAATACCACACACAAATTTAGATTCATTTCACAAACTGCGTGAAAAAGATGTTAATTTTTATTACTGATATCACAAAGTGGATTGTCAAATTATGCAAAATGTGGAATAATTACTTGCTGCAGCAGGAAGCACAGCTGGGTAAAAGTCACCAGACAAACAAACAAACAAACAAACAAACAAACAAACAAACAAACAAACAAACAAAATAACATCAAAAAGTGAAAGACAATCTTGGATGGTTAGACACAGATGTTTCAACACATTCTCACTCCCGAGTCGTCACATATTGACGTTTTTCAAAGGTCCCTTTGCGTCCAATTTTSAYGCATCAGGTACCCCCCTCGCGTCAGTCCTTGCCGCCCGCGGCTTTTCCGGGTTGCGCCACCAGGGGTCTTTGGGTCGGGGGTCTGAGGTTAACATTAGGGATCAGGATAAATGGTTAAGTTTAGGGAGTGGGGTCAGGGATAGGATGTCTACAGTGAACATTAGGTAATTTTAGGCTTTGCA